CACACACCCACACGCACGCGCACACGCAAACGCCCACGCGCACGCCACACGCACCCGCACACACGCACAACACACAACATACACAACACACACAACACACAACACACAACACACAACACACAACACAACACACACACACACGCACACGCACGTACGCACACACAAACAACACACAACGCGCAACGCACACGCAACGCAACACACAACGCACAACACACAACACAAGAGAACACACACACACACGCACGCACGCACACACACGCACACACGCGCACACGCACACGCACAACACAGACACAACACAACACATCACAACACACAGACACAACACACAACACACAACACACAACACACACAACACACAACACAACACACACACACACACCCGTTGAGCCATAGTACACACTGTGGATCAACTCACACAGTCTGCTGTGGAAGCAACACGGAGTGTGCGTTTGTTTTTCCCCGTGTTTTTTTCCACACGTTCCGCTGTCCCATGGGCCCAAAGGCGCCGCCTTTCTGGACGGAGCGCAGCCGCTCGCTCGCTCGCCCACCGCTTGCCGAGGCCTCCGCAGATCGATCAGCCCGTCTAAGTCACCGCCTGGCAGGCCCGCCGTGGGCAGCCGCCCCTGGTACTCGTACTCTAGATGGTCCTCTTCTTCCTGTTCCTCTGCCTTTTTTCTCCATATGTTCTCCTTTTTTTCGCCTCCGCCCCCTCCTCCTCCTCCTCCTCCGACCTCCGCCTTCTCCGCCTCCTCCGCCTCCTCCTCCTCCTCATAATCCTCTGCCTCTTTTCTCCCTCTTCTCTCCCCCTTCTGTCCTCCGCCTCCGCCTCCTCCTCCTCCTCCGCCTCCTCCCCCTCCTCCACCTCCTCCTCCTTCTCATCCTCCAGCATCACGTACCTGAAGAACCCGAAAGACCTGAAGAACCCAGCAGCACAGCTGCCCAAGACACGCCAGTCCCAGAGGACTCTCCTCCGACCATGGAGGTTAATTTCGGGGCCGGTTGCAGGGGGGGAAGGGGGCCGAGCTGCTGGGCGCGGCCGCCGCGCACCCAGCCGGGGGCCTGTCCGATGCGGCCGTGCAGGCGCAGGCCAGCTTGGCCAAGCGCGCACCCCTCGCGTCCTCCAGGACGGCCAGGGGCCAGGGCGGGTCGAAAGGGTAACGCGTTGAGTGCATGCACGCTCAACAGTAGCAGTTTCACGGGAGTGCGCAAGACTCTTGGTTCAGAAGCTGCCAGAAGGGTCCGGGTGATCTGTTGCCAAGAAACCCGTACTCGACCTAGATATTTGGACAATGAAACCAAGGGCGTGCTAACGTGGGATGGTTCGCAGTTTTGCCGCCAGCGGTTATCACAGTACAAAAGGGCTTGCCTGCCATGGCATTGGGATTCTAGTACGTGCGGGCCTCGATTTCGGCATCTCTCCCCTGAACGTGCCCGTCGATTTCCCTAAGCCGCGTTCGACAGTCATGTCTCTTGAGGTCCCAGGACATCGCGCCTTCTGCTTAGGATCTATGTATCTCGCAGACAACGTCGGCTTGAATGGGGCCACCCTGACTATGCTTGCCAGCGCCGTCCAGATTGCGCCAACAGCCAGTTGCCAATCATTTGAATGATTCGCTCTCCCTACTAATCCATATCAGAGGAAATAATTGAAATACGAGGGAATAAATAGGCCTAGAAATACTAAGAAATAGGCGAAAATTACATAGCTGTTATTATACCACCAATGATGATATATGAGTAGAAAAGGAGCTCTGGGTAGGAGTGGGGGGAGCTTGAGCGTCGCGGGCAAAATTGTAGAGGGGGAAGGAGCTCGAGCGTCGCGGATGCACTGGGTGAGTGGGAGGAACATTGCAGGAAGTAGACGAGAAAGAGGCGGGTGAGGGGGTTGAACAATAAGGAAAAGGAGGGGGCGGAGGAGGGAGAGAAGGAGCAACAGCACTCAAGCCCACCAAGCCGCAGCCGAAAACACAGCAAAATCCGTCAAGGGGAACATTCGATACCAAATGACCGTTTTGTACATAATTTCCCCTCCCCACCCCCATCCCCTTTGGTTTTGGAAGCCCCGAAGCGGAGAGGGGGCGACGAGAAGAGGGGCGGAGAGGGAGAGAGGGAAAAGTTGCAGGGGGATGAGAGAAGGAGAGGGGGAGGAGAAAGAGGGAGAAGCAGCAGGAGGAGGAGGAGGAGGACGAAGGAGAGCGAGGAACGCCGCTCGCGGCCGCTTTGCTCGCGGCCACGCGGCGCCCGCCGCCGCCCGCTGCCGCGGCCAATGGCCGCGCAGTGGGTGCACGCGGGGTTCGCGGCGCTGGCCGGCGCGGCCGGCCCTCGCCCGCGCCCGCGCCCTCCCCCGCCGCCAGGCTGGGGGAAGTGGGCGGAGGAGAGGGAGAGGAGGGGAGCGGAGGGAGGAGGAAACAGGAGGAGGAGGAGGAGGGGGAGGAGGAGGAGGAGGAGGAGGAGGAGGAGGAGGAGGAGGAGGAGGGGGAGGAGGAGGAGGGAAGAGGGAGAAGGAAAGAGGAGAAGGAGGAGGAGGAGGAGGAGGGATAAGGGATGAGAGGAGGGAGGAGGGACGAAGAGGAGGGAATAGAGAGAGAGCAGGCCACAATGGGAAGGGAGGTCGTGGCCAGCAGCAGCTGGAGGCGAATTACAGTGGTTTGGCTGCTGCATGGTCTCGTGGAGTGGGTACGTTGAGGCACGGAGAACTGGCTCAGGAGCTACACTATGATCCTGCTGCGCCCAGATTGCATCCAAATCAGTATGTACCCGAGGGCGTCCTCAAGGATGCGTTTCGACAGTTGGCCGGCAGTGGGGGGGGGAAGCAGTCAGGGATCGGGTCCACCACTCATGGGCTGGGGACGTTGACGTGCGCTGCGTTTGCTGCTTCCCAAATGCAGGCGGCAAGATTATCTAGCACCTTGTCTGATGTCCACAATCACACAGAGGGTCTTCTAGTCTGCCAGCATCCAGACGCCACCCCGTTGGTTCTTCGATTTGGAAAAATGGCCCAGACCTTAGCCCCGCACGCACGTTATCTCGTGTGGGATGATACAGCGGGGCGGTGGAAGTGCGTGCCGCTGCAACAATATTTGCACAGGTATCCGAATGCCAAGCAGCATTTTGGAGTCCTGCAGGTGTTGGCCCAACATTGTGAGGTTCACTATGCGCGAAGGGCTCTGCCCGCAGCGCCCGGGGAGGGGGGGTCCACGAGCCATCGGCTGTACGCCAGTTTGGCCCAGATGAGCAGGACCCTTCAGACAGAAGCAGTGAAGCTGAATATCATATGTCCACCGTGCATTGTGGAGAGGGCGAACGCATCCTGCCTATTTACTGCTTGCGAGCGGGCCGTGCCCGCCTTGGACCACGCTCACCTGTTGGATCTGTCAGCGCGCCTCCGCTTCATCATATACCACGAAGTGCCGGAGGGGCAGGGGCAGTAGGAGAAGGATGGAAGATGATGGGGGGAGGGGCAGTAGGAGAAGGATGGAAGATGATGGGGGGAGGGGCAGTAGGAGAAGGATGGATGGATGGGGCCAAGGTCTATCCTGCCCCACCCCGCCCAACCCCTTTGTGAGGTGGAGGGAGGGTAGGGCGGCCGAAGGGCGCGGGGAGGCGCACTGCGACTGAGGTGCGAGGGGCAGGGGAGGACCGAGCTAAAGCGAACATCAGAAAGGCCGCAGAAACGAAAGAGAGGCTGCCGCGGAACATCCTGTTCAGCGACGGCTCTGGCGGTTGCGTTGCACATTCAGTGAACTCGTCTATTTCAAAAGCTACGTCTGAAGATGATCTCGCTGGCGACGTCCATGCTATAGGATTCACTTGTTCGCTGACGTCGCACCGTGACAAACTTGTAGCTGAATTGCACCGTCTCGTATTCAGCCCAGATTTCGTTATCCTTTACGGGGAACCCGACCCGCGCATGCAGCAACACGCTTCTGATATATTGAACTTGTGCTTGCTGCGGGACGAGGCTGCGGGAGCGCTGCTGCCGTGCTCGTTGTTTGCCCTCGTGCCCCTCTTGCCGTGTCCCTAGGGCCCCCCCCGCACTCCCCAGTCCGATCCATTCCATTCCTCATTCATTCTCATTCCTCATTCCTCATTCCGACTCATTCCTCATTCCGATTCCATTCCTCATTCCTCATTCCTCATTCCTCATTCCTCATATTCCTCATTCCTCATCTCAGCTCATTCCTCTCATTCCTCATTCTCATTCCCCATTTCGATTCCGAATTCCGATTCCGAATGCCGAATGGATTGTTATTCCGACTCATTCCTTCCCCCTTCCACATTATATTCATTCTTTTCCCCCGAGACCCAGGGGCTCGTTCTCGCGATCTGTTGTTCGATAGATTCCGAGCGCCAGCGATCAATGGGGCCGACGCTCTCGCCGGCGAGGCTTCTGTGCGCGGAGGCATCGGCACGGACGGCCCTGAGCTTTTCCAGCAGGGTGTGATGGGGCGCAAGTTACAGACCAAACGAAAAGTGCTGCTATTCATGAATGGGGACCTCCTGTCTCGAAGGCTCGTCCACCACGAGTGCGGATGTTGCGGCAGCGAGGAGATGGCTCGCCAGAATTTTTTCGCCGCGGCCGTCGAAGCAAATCTATTGCTTACCGAGGAGGGCAACGACTGTGCCAAGAGCAGGTCGAACTACAACACCCCCCCATCTGCATTTGAAGCCCGAGTGCCGCGGATTTCAAACCTGAATGCGGCATTCAGGTTCGAATTCCGCGGCATTCGGGTTTCAAACCTGTCCAACGCAGCCCCCCCCCCCAGGGGCTCTCTCGACGTGCCGTGCGAGGGCCTTCCCGACCCTCCGCGCCCCCCAACTCCGACTGGCCCCTCTGCCGCCCCCTTCGCCCCCTCCCCGCCTCTAGCCTTTCTTCGCCTTGGAGCCCGCCCGAGTCCTTCAACCCAAGCTTCCCTCCCTCGCCTCCCTCCGACCCTCCGCCCATCGCTGGCCGGCCGCCCTTGTGCCCGCCCATCCCGCGCTGCGCCGCGCAGGTGGGGCACCGTGTTCGGCGTGCTGGCGAAGGAGGTTGGTGGGTTCATGTTTCACGAGCTGCTCCCCCAATGTTGCGCGGGGATGCCGTCCTGGGATGATATCACGGAGGAGGGGGCTCAGAATTTGGATGAGTACCGGAAGATGGTGAGAAATAAAACGTATAGAACCAAATGCATTGTAGGCAACCTGCGGCTTAGACAAGACATGGCCCTCTCAGCGTGGGGGTCGCTCCCGCTATCGCACATGCTTCGGCGCGTGCAGTGGCTTGACGAGCGAGGGTCGTTGCTTGGCGATATGGTGCGACCGTCGTCCTCGCCTCTGGTCGCATGTCAATCGGAATTGCGCCACCTCCTTGTCACCCCCGTTCAGGAATCCAGTTTACGGCCAGTCTTCTTTCACTATGGCGTAGACGCGGAGACGTCGCGTAACCTCATTGATCGGTGTAGGCGCTTGCTCACGAGCCTGAGTAGTCAGCTGTGGTGGCGTCTCCGCGCCTACGATGGGTGGCCGCTGCGTTTGGCCGAGTCGGCGCACCCTGATAGCGATCAGAAGCATGCCCAAGGGAACCGCGATGTTTTCGATGAGTTGTACGCTGCGAGCGCATGTTGCCTAGACAGGGACTTCAGCCAGAAAGCCATTGCCTTGTTCGGTTCTGCAGTAGAGATGAGGAGGGACAGCCAGTTCAGAGCACTATTGAATTCCTGGGTCCGCCACGCTAAGCAAGCAAACATGCATGTGGAAAGGATGCTGGCGCTGATCAAGGCTAACAGTACGTTGTTCGCAAATAAGCGCCCATCTGTGGAGCGGCTCTGTTCAGCTGGATTTATGGCGAGCTGGAAGAAGGAGGGGATGGGTGTGGCAACGAGCCTGGGGGGCAGGTTGCAGGCCAGCTCGAGCCCCGCCCCCCACCTCCCCCGCCCCTTCGCATGTAAGAAGTGGCTGAGGTCAAACCGTTGAGTTCAGCTGATGATGGCAATGCCGATGGTGATTATGATGGGGGAACCTCAGTGGGCCCCCCTCGTGGCCCAGGCATGACAGTTTGAAAAAAAAGAAGAGAAATTTCAAGAATTCCATTGGTCCGTTGTTTTTCAAACGCACCCCCTGCTCACGTGCGGAGTGGGCCTTTGGCCATTTGAACAAGAAAGGAATTCGGAATCCGAATTCCAGTGTTTTTGGCACGCTCACACCCTTGCCCGCTCGAGCCCTGGCGCCGCGGCCTCGGGGGTGAGCGGGCGGTTGGGAGAGGATGGGTGGGGCGGGGGGGGGGGGGGGGAGATGCGTTTGCCTAGACCCACGGCTCGAAAGTCCAAGAGGGGGAGGGGCGACGGGCGAGCCCCTTGGGCGTTCTCTTTTCGGGCGGAGATGGGGTTCTCGAGTCGGCAGGGGTGCGTTCGAGTAGACAGGGGTGGATTCAAGTAGACAGGGGGGAGCTATGTGTTTGGAGGGGTCGGCGCCCTCGGGAGGCTCACTGCTGCGCTGGCGGCGAGTTCCACCCGCACCTGACTGTGAAGGAGGCGCTGGAGCTAGGCGCGCCCCTAAAAAGCAGGCGTCGGGAGAAGCAAGCTCCCCGCGGCGCCCCCGGCTTCATCTTGTTTCGCAGGAGAGAGAGTGCGAGGATGAGGGGAGGGGAAGGTGTCCACCTAACTCAGCATGAAGCGTCACTTGAACTGCAACAGATCCAGACGGCATGGGGGAATCTGAGCGCGGAGGAGCGACGAGGCTACAACGATGAGGCCGCAGTGGAGCAGCGTGGAAAAGTAATGGGCCGCATGGGCCCTGAGGAGCAGAGAGCGGCCGCGGAAGCTAACTACATGTCAAAAGAACCCTTGCACGGGATCAGCACCCAAAGTTGCTTGATCAGGACCGATCTCTTCGAGGCTTTCATCGAGGAGAGGTGCGGTCTGCAGCCCCGTCACTCGGTCCCAGGCTTCTCGCGGTATGAATCAATGTTCCGGGACGGCTTCGTGAGTGGCCTTTTCGTCCCAGACGAGGATGCCATGCCATCTGATAAGTCGTTTGTGGTTAGGCGCACCTGCAACTTCGCTCACCCGGGCTGCTGCGTGCACGTGGACGGAGCGCATTGGATGCAGGCTTGCGGCTTCCAATCTCCTGGCTTTCGCTCTCGCCGCTGTTCTCCTTCCTCATCGTCGCCGTCTGTCTGCCTAGCTATCTCTTGCCCCCTTCCCTCCTCCGCCCTCCGCCCCTCGTGCATTCCCTTAGCGCTCCCTCGCTCCTCTCCGCCAGCCCGCCTTCTTCCTGCCGCGCCCCCTCCTAGTCGACCCGCTGTGGGATTGTCTTCGGGAGGCTGCCATTCCAGCGAAGAACCTCCTGGACCACTTGCATGCCGAAGTCCCCGAGGGGTCATTCATTGAGATCTCTGTGGTTGGAGCCGATGGAGACTTGGTGTCGCTTTGCTATTTAATCGCTTCGCTCATTCCGCCGGCCCGTATTGTGCCATTGCAGGCGTTTACTTGCGCGTTCGTGGCCTCTTGGATCCTCGGTGGGGCCGTTTGGGGCCTCTTGGCGTCTCTTTTTAGGCCTCTTGGAGAACTCGGGAGGCCTCCAGGGGGCCTCCTGAGCTCTCGTGACGGTCTCTTGGGGGGCTTTCGGCGGGCTCTTGGCGGTATTTGTTGGTCCTCTTGGGGCCTGGGGCCTGACGTTGTTGGTCCTCTTGGGGCCTCACGGGAGCTTATTGGGGCGTCTTGGGGGTGTCTTGGAGAGTCTCTTGGGGCCTCTTTCGGGGTCCTGGGCGCCTTCTGGGGCGGAGGGCTCGATTTTTCAGTTCTCGGTTCCCTTCTTGAGCCCCTCTTGGGCCCGTCTTGGGGCCTCTTGGTCCGCCTTGGGCAGCACTTGGGCCGTCTGGGGGGCGCTCTTGGGCCGCTCCGGGGCCGTCTTGGGAGCCTCGTGGGCCGTCTTGGAGCAGTCTTGAAGGCCTCTTGGGCCCTCTTGGAGCGTCCGGAAGCGAAAAGGCCAGAACGCAAAAAAACATAGAAAAAAACAATGAAAATCAACGATTTTGGCAACTTGGGGCCCTCTTCGGAGGCCTCTTGGAAGGCCCTTGGAGCGTCTTGGAGGCCTCTTGGGCTGTCTTGGGGCCATCTGGGGCGTCTTCGGGCGATCTTTGGCCGTCTCGGGCCTCTCTTGGACCGTCTAGAAAGCTTCTCGGGGCCCTCTTGGACCGATCTGGAGCCCTCTTGGACTCCGAAACAGAACTCCGGCATCTCTGACCCGACCTTGCCGGGGACTTGCCGGGGACTTGCCGGGACCTTGCCGGGGTACTTTTGGCCCGGGGACCCCCAGGGGCCGCCCCGCGCGCGCGAACTAGAAATACTGTTAACCAGGTACCGGAGATCTTAGCACGCCCTGGCCCGTTGGGCCGGCGAATTATTATACATGTTATTACCGTGGCAGCGATCCTAAGCTGGTAGTCCTGACTCCTTGCACTCTGGATGCTGGGGAGGATCATGATTTCCTTGAGCTGCAGACGATTGCAACGCGTCTTGTGTTTCAGACATGCATGAGGGCCATCCTGAACATATATCAAGCTGGTGGCGATGTTGCCCGTCTAGAGATTCGCGGGGCTGCTCATTGTGCCTTGCCCGACCTGCTCTTCAGGGTTAGGGTGCCGCGAGTCGGCGTAGACGGCAGGCGCGGGATCGGGGCCCCCGTGCAGCTCGCCTCGCAAGGGGGCCCTCCGAAGATAAAGAAACCGCCCAAGACGCAGCAGGCCATCAACATTGCAGCGGGTTTTGGGGCTCTCGGGGGCCCAAGCGCTAAGAAGCCTCGGAAGCCGACCACTGGCAAGGTCACGAGCAAGGCCCCCCCCGTTCCAGGCGATGGCCCGAAGCACATGCCACCCGCCCCCGATCCAGAGCTGATGGCCGCGCTAGATGAGTTGATGGATCAGATGCCGGAGGACACAGACGACGACGGGGGTGGCCATCATTCGGCGGCGGAAGGGGACGGGGTCGTCGATGATTGCCTCTTCGAGTCGACCGACGAGGAGGGGGGGGTCGCGGGGCCACCCCCAAAGAAATCCAAGAAGGCCAAGGATGAGGGAAGCCCAAAGCCAAAGGCGGCCATCAAGCCAGACCCAGTTGCCAAGCCGCCCGTCGTCGAGCCCCCCATTGCCGTGCCGCCCGTCGTCGAGCCCCCCACTGCCATTGCCGTGCCGCCCGACGTCGAGCCGCCCGCTGTCGGGCCACCTGTTGTCGAGCCGCCCATTGTCAAACCACCGGCAGCAGTGCCCCCCCCGCCAGATCCTGGGGACCCGTTGAGGTGGGCGGTGTGCCGAAAGCGCAGGAAGTCAAAGTGTGCGGGGTGCGAAGTTGAGTTGCCAGGTTGGGTATTCAAGGTGAAGTATGCCCCATTGGCGAAAGATGTCAAGGACGTCTCTGACTGGTCTACTACGTTTTACCGATATTACCACTTTGATACGGCTTGCCTACCTAAGCTTGCTATCCCACCTCGGCACCTCGGCGATATCAGCGTTGAGATTGATTTCAAGAAGGATGACGGTGATAGAGCTGCTTTCGAGGATATCGCCAACGCCCGGAAGCTAACGTTGATCGCCCTGTTTGATGGGGCTTCGGGCTCTGGAGCAGGGGGTGCAGGAGGCGCCGCGGCCAGCGGAGCCCCCGGGGCCGCGCCGTCTGCGAGCTCTGGCGTCGCTGGAGCGCACGCTGGAGCAGCAGCCCCGTAGGCGGGCTGGGAGGCGTCGGGCAATCGGGCCTCGAGAGGGCCCACTGGGCACACCAAGAGAGCGCTGATGCATCCGTGCAACATTGCCCGAAGGTTGGGGCCATATGGGGCCCTCGTGGGCCCGTCTTGGAGCCCGTCTTGGGGGCAGTTTTGGCCGTCTCGGGGGATTCGTGGACCGTCTCTGGCCGGGGCCATCTCGGGCCGCTCGCGGAGCCATCTTGGAGCCTGCCCGAGGCCATCCAGAGGCCTTCTTGAAGCCAGCGAGCATCCAGAGGAATCCCAAGAGGGCATTCCATAACAGGCTCCAGGAGGGCTCCGCTACGGGTTCCGCATTTGCACACCGCAGTATCATGCCGCATCATGCCAAAGTCTCTCGGCGCCACGTTGGCCCCAGAGGGGGGGCCATGGCGGCCCCAGAGAGCACCGACCGAGATAGGGCCCGCGGGGGAGAAAGATAAGGCACCAAACGAGTGTCCAGAGGAGCTCGCGCCGAGGACGGTCTGAGGCAGGGGGGGCCATCTTGGGCCCCCTTCTCGGGCCCTCGCAGGGCCTGGCCGAAGTCCCGAGAGGGCTCCGAGAGTGGCCCCGACGAGGCGGCTCCAAGTAAGATTTATCCACAGGTCCATCGACCTGGCTGGATCGAGTTGACTCGGGGCCATCTTGGAACCCTCTTCGCTATCCTGCTCTCGTGTGATCCATTCCGCTGCTCTCGCCCCCTCTCCCCCTGCTCGCTTTGCGCCGGAGGCGCCGCCCTGCCGCTGGACCTGGAGGCGCTGGCTGGCGCGAGCCGCGGGCTTCTCGCGACGCTGGAGGCGCTGGCTGGCGCGGGCAGCTGCGGCCTCGCGACGCGTTGCATCGCGCCGCCGCGCGCCCTCGCGGCGAGGTATAAGAGATGCAGGGGTTAGCGCGGGGGAGGGGAGATGGGGGAGGGGGGGGCCAAGGCGGGATAGGGGAGACTAGCGCAGCAACGGCACGCGAGACCCGATGTTGCCCAGCCAGCCCAACCTCGAAACCTAATCGTCTGAGTGTTGACCAATAGCCTATAGCCTATAGCCTATAGC